AATATCTACATAAACCTTTTGGAATTTTTCTGTAAGAACATTCCTTTTTTTTTTTAAGTCATCATTTTGGTCCATTTTCTTTCAATAGTTTGGGTTTGTGTTTCTATGTTAGTTTGGGTCTTCCAAGAAGCAGATGCCAAAATGGGATTAGACATGCAAAAGATTTATTAGGTGATTTACCTATAAAAAGTGAAGAGAAGTAGGGGCTGGCCCCGTGGCCGAGTGGTTAAGTTCGTGCGCTCCGCTGCAGGTGGCCCAGTGTTTCGTTGGTTCGAATCCTGGGCGCGGACATGGCACTGCTCATCAGACCACGCTGAGGCAGCGTCCCACATGCCACAACTAGAAGGACCCACAACAAAGAATATACAACTATGTACCGGGGGGCTTTGGGGAGAAAAAGGGAAAAAATAAAATCTTTAAAAAAAAATAAAAAAAATAAAAAACAAAAAAGTGAAGAGAAGGGAGCAAGAAGGCAAGAGAGCCTTCAGACTGTGATACAGTTCTGGTACCTGCAATGGAGAAAGGGAAGGAAGGAGGCCTGGGTAAGACGAGTCTAAGACTGCAGCGCAGTTCTAAGGAAAGTTTTGGCCCAGCCAATGAGGAGTCCTTCAGCAAAAGTATCCCATTAAAGAAGTCCTGCATCTCATAGGAAAGGACCTGCATTTCAACCCCACCATATGCAGTCATTGCCTGGAAAGATCACTTGGGAATTATGGCCTAGGTACAAACTTGAGAGTGGATTCTAAAAGGTAACATCTGGGGCCATCAGTCAACTATGTTCCCTGCAGCAGGAGATCTAAGCAGTACATTTTCATGCCCATCACTGTCCATACTTTTATGCAGTCATATTAAAACACCAGAAATTATTTTTGAAAGAATATTACCTAATTCTTTCCCCATTCTAGTATGTTTTTACTTTTTGTTTGCTTTTCTAAACATAGCTGCATACAATAACAAATAATATCTTAGAAACCGAAACTTTGTTTTTCCATTTAAAAATATTAATTTAATGGGGCTGGCCCTGTGGCCTAGTGGTTAAAGTTCCACGTGCTCTTCTTCGGCAGCCCAGGTTTGAAGGTTTGTATCCCAGGCGTGGACCTACACCACTTATCAGCCATGCTGCGGCAGCAACCCACAGACAAAATAGAGGAAGACTGGCACAGATGTCAGCTCAGGGCTAATCTTCCTCAAGTGAGAAAAAGACAAAGATTGGCAATGGATGTTAGCTCAGGGAGAATCTTTCTCAGGAAAAAAACCTACTGCTTTAATGACTTCTGGCATTTATAAGTAGTAAAGTATCTCAAATTAGATACCCTTTCAACAATAACAATTATGAATTCTGACTAAAATATAAGAAAAAAACCATTTGAAGCCACTGTGAAGTGATCAATAGCAGGTAGAAACTGAAGGGGATACAATCCTTCAAAGAACAGAAGCCAATAGGTGATATCCACATCTTTCCAACTTTTTTCTAAGGTTATTTCTCAGTCTGAATGGTGAACAGGGAATAGAGCTTAAGCAGAAAGCAGTAGATTTTTGGGCTGAGTCGTCAGAAGTTGGAGTTTAAGGCTGCTAGAGCAGCTGGAAATTGATAGAGGGAGTCTCCAAAAAGGGGAAGCCATGGAGAGTTGGGTGAGGCAGAGAGAGCAGCTCCAAAATCTGCATAATACCTCCCTGCAAATCCTTGACTGACTCCTGAACTCTGCATGTGCAGGGTGAGATCCAAGAAACCTAGAGGGAAGCAACAGCTAAAAGGCTGAAATACCTTCAGTGGCTACCCAGTAATGATGAGTCAGAGTTTAAGGGGTGAATCCCTTAAAGTTAGGCCACAATGAGATACTACATCTTACCCATGTGGATGGCTACTATAACAAAAAGTGGAAAATAACAGCCTTATAAAGGAAATCCTCACACATGGTACAACATGGATGAACTTTGAGGACATTATGCTAAATGATAAAAGCCAATCACAAAAAGACAAATACCGTACGATTCCATTTATATGAGGTAACTGGAGTAGTCAAATTCATAACAGACAGAAAGCAGAATGGTGGGTGCCAGGGGCTTGGGGGAAAGGGAATGGGGAGCTGTTGTTTAATTGGTATAGAGTTTCTGCATTGCATGATAAAAAAAGAGTTCTAGAGATTAGTTGCACAACAATGTGTACTTAACACTACTGAACTAGACACTTTAAAAAAATGGTTAAGATGATAAATTTTATGTTATTTTACCACAATTTTTAAAAAGTCAATTAACTGTTTAAAGTAAAAGTAATATACTGTGGAATTTATGATATGTGTAGATGTAAAACATATAACAAAATAGTACAAAGGATGAGAGGGAAGTAAATAGAATTACACCACTGTAAGGTTTTTACATTGTAAGTAAATCAGTATAATATTAATCCGAGGTAGACTGTGATAACTTAAGTACACATATTTAATCTCTAAAGCAACCAATAAAATAACAACACAATTACGTATGATCAAAAAAGCCAAATGAGAAGATAGAATAGAAACCAAAAAAAATACTTGATTAACCTAAAACAAGATAGGAGAGGAGGAACAAAGGAACACAGAATAGAAGGGACATACAGAAACAAACATCAAGACGGTAGACTTAAATTTAAGCACACCAATAATTAAATTAGATGTAAATGAGCTAAACATACCAATTAAAAATTGCTGCTTTTAGAAAATACATTGACAAATATTAACAGCCCCATTTGAGAATTCTTTCTAAAAAAAATTTTAACATAAAAATTTTCATTGCAGATATGATGCCTTATTCTTCAAATAGTTCTGATTTTACCACACATCATGGTCATTTACAAAAGAAATCTGTATTAATATCTGTTATATTAGTCATCTGCATTACAGATGCTTAAAAAAAGCTTCCAATGAGACATACTATCAGTAGCACTTCTCCATGACAAAAAGAAGATGGTGGTACAAAACCAAGAAAATTTCTAACAAGTGGGTTATTTTTAGGGGGATTTTTCTTTTTCAATGAATTTTATCCTTTTTCTCCTAAATCATGTCCCACTCTTTTCTCCAGTTGCTTCCACGGTCTGTATCTTTTCAATTTTATAGATTGCACAGAAATATGGTAAAAAGATTACCTCAATTTCTTGGGTTTCTTATGAAAATTATTTCCATATCAAGCCAAATTCATAGTAGCAAATAGATTTTGTTTGTTTGTTTGTTTGTTTTAAGACTGGCGCCTGGGCTAACAACTGTTGCCAATCTTTTTTTTTTTTTCTCTGCTCTATCTCCCCAACCCCCCCGCCCCCCCATGCACAGTTGTATATCTTAGTTGCATGTCATTCTAGTTGTGGGCAAATAGATTTTTAAATGGAGGTATGGAGGAAGGAAAAAGGGAAATTAATGTTTCCCAAATATATTACTATATAATCACACTTCTCTCTTTTATAAATTCTTTGGCATAATGAAAAATGTTTTGTGGACCATTCCTTGTATTCCTTCACAAATATATTGTAATGTATCTGGTTCTCATTGTGGTGCTGCTAATACAACAGATTTTCTAATCCAGATTGAAAGTAAATTGAAAAATAGCTTTCTAACGGATTTGTTTTTAGCTTGGAAAGCAAGATTTTGTATTTATAAGTCAGGTACAGTAATGTTATTAATTTTCTTCCATCCAAAGATAAAATTCACCTTAAAAAATAGCTACAGTTATCATGTCATTATGTTTTTGATCTGTCTCAGGTAAACCTGATATGCTTAGGTATTTGACATTTTTAGCTGTGACACTTCAGTAACCTCTGCCAGTAGCAGAACATAACAGAATGAAATATTTTTTTAAAAGATTGAAAAAAGAATGAAATTGGCATTAGTTTGTCTAATAAGCTGATGACAAGAGTGATGGGAAGTAACTGAGCAGTGATTCACATATCTGAATCTCCTTCGTGTGAGGATAAAAAAGAAATGGCAAATATTCTATTTCACAGACTAATAGCTATAGTATATACCCATTTCCCCCAGTTAACAGAACACCAATTTTGTTTAGGCATCCACCCTTTAAAAAAGTGACATAACCAAAACTCAGGGATAAATCTTGATTTGTTTAAGCCCATCCTTAGGTAATTCATTATCTTTTTCTCCTTGCCTGTTATTGTTTAGGAGGTGAGGATGTGACTCAGTCAACGAGTCATGAAGGCAAGTGTGCTAGAAGGCTTCTAAGAATGATTTCCTTGTTCTTAAAAAGAAACACGCATGAAGAGATGGTATTTTCTTTTGCAGGATGCTGTTCTGACTGGATTTGAATACTGAAACTGCAGCGGTCATCTTGTGACCGTGAAGAAAGCTAGTCTGAAGACAAGGGCTAGCACTTTGAGGATAGTAGAGTGGAACAATGATAATCCTGATGGATCCTGATGACGCCACTGGGCAGCTGAAATAACCAACCTGGGAGTTGTCCTCTCTTGAAATTTCATATTTCAGAATACATTTTTCAAATTTTTAAGTCATTTTGAGATTAAATCTTTTTTTTTTTTTTTTTTTTTTTTACTGCAATTGAACTTACTCTTAATGTGTACATACCAGGTATCTGGAATTGTGCTAAGTGCTGTACCTGGATTATCTCATTTAATACAACAAACCTATGAGATAGCTATTATGATGCCCATTAAAAAGAAGAAACCTTGTCTTACAGAGTTAAACTACATTACTCACATCACATAGCTAATAAATGGCACAGTTGAGAATTCAAAACTTTTTTACTTCAAAGTTAGACTCTTAGCTCTTGAGCTACTGACTCAATATTATCATTAATTCCACAAAAAAATGACTGACAACATATTATGGGGTATGTACTATGCTAATTTCTTGAAAACTATATTCAGATAAAAAGTTTTTTAGTGGAAGCAGTATCTGAGATTGCACATGAGAACAAATATTAAACCAACTCTATAAATAGGCTTGGTAATGGAGTTTTCTATTTGTTAAGGAATATTCCAACTAAATAAGTAATACACTTACTTATTTCAGTAGCTTTAGTTTTAGAGTGTGTTGGACAGCAGGGCACGTTGCAAAGATCTGTGTCATGGGCTGGAAACGTATGAATCACTTTTGTCAGGTTTGCATCTGTTGGGATATACAGGAAGGTCATCTTCGAGAAATGGGAATTCTCAAGAATGTAGCAGCAATCGCATGTTCAGAGTGACTGTTAATTCTAATTGATCTTGTGATATACTTAAGGGCCTGCTTAGAAATCACCAATTGCTAAAAGTAAACAAATAGTTACTATTTTATTAAAGTACATAGTACTGTGCTAGATGTAGGAAAGAGAAAAGAAATACAAGCCGTGAAACTTAGCTATGCTCAAGCAGTATACACATTCTTGTTTGGGAGATGATATTAACACCCTGATAAAATGAAAGGAAGTATATCATTAAACACTTAATTATATGTTAGTGACAACAGTCCAAAAAAGAGAACAAGATCTATAATCAGTTGTCAAATGTATATCAATGTGTAACCTTATAAGTTTCAGAAAGCTTTCATGTTATCTCATCTGATATTCACAAAATTGCATAAAGGTAGGAAAGGCAAGTAGTATTTAATCAATGACAACTGCCTTTAATAATAACCTCCAAGGTGTCAGACATTGTGTAAAGTACTTTTCATTCTCTTTCTCATTTTATTCTCACAAGAATCCCATGTGGTAGGGACTATTGTCCCATTTCCAGATGCTGAAACTGAGTTAAACGAACTGCTTAAGAACACACAACTAATAATTCACACAGTTGTATTTAACACTAGCCTTGAGGTTGATACTTACCACTATCAAAGTTGAGAGTTCTACTACTGAATTTTGCCAATACTGTGAAATAATGAATCTCCAAAACCTATAAATATCTCATGTCTATACAGAAAACATTTCCTTATTTTGTCTGAAATAGACTAAAGCAAAATTTCAAGAAGTCTAACCTTACTTGAAACATCACATAGCTAGCTCACTGTGAGGAAATTTTTCAAATATAGATGAGTATGAAAATGCCAAATCTGTATCACCATCACACCAAATCTACATTAGCCTCCAAGGTAGCTAGGTTAGGACTAAATACAAGAACTTTCTAACCACTCTGGTAGTTAGCTGTTGATGAGAAGGTAACACCAGGCAAATACAGGGATGTGTTGCTGCAGCTCAGCCTATCCCATCCTATTAAAAAGGTAACATGAATTATGCTTTTAGAGTTCTTATTTCAATAGACAATGTTAAGTAGGTCATCTGAATCACTCTGCTTGTGTGACACAAGTCAAGTACTCAGTTTCCACCAGGGTTCCAGGTTTACTATTACCTAAATACTCTGTATTCTGGACTCTCAGCCTCACAACTCCAGCTCAGTCAAGCCTAATCAAACCCAAAAAAACTAAGCCAGTGTCACCAAATTCTTCTGAGAATTATTTGTATTTGAAAGGTATGTCATTAATTTATAAAATTAATACCAGAATACTAGAATATTCCTGATGCATGGTCATTATGTTTTATTCTCAAAGGAAAAATCTATTTGGAAAACCTAAATAAGATTAAAAGATATATAATCGGAACAAAGAAAACCAATGGGTTTTCTCATTAACCTGTAGGTTAGAGCAGTGATTCTCAAAAATAGTAACTACACATTCTTAATCACATAATTTTTTTGTTGTGGTAAAATATACATAAAATTTGCCACTATAAGTTCAGTGGCATTAGGTACATTCACAATGTTGTGCAACCATTACCACTATTTCCAGAATGTTTTCATCATCCGAAACAGAAATTCTGTACTTATAAAGCAGTAACTTTCCATTTGACCTCCTCCAATCCTGCCCCTGGTATCCTCTAATCTGCTTACTGTCTTTATGAAACATAACTTTTGAAATCATAAAATATTGCCCTTTTCTATATGGCTTATTTTACTTAGCATAATATTTTCCAGTTCCATCCATCTTGTGATATGTATCACAACTTCATTGCTTTTTTACGGCTGAATAATATTCCATTGTGTGAATATATTACATTTTGTTTATCCATTCATTTGTTGATGAACACTTAGGTTGTTTCTACCTTTTGGTAACTGTGAATAATGTTTGTCTGAATACTGGTGTACAAGAATCTGTTTGAGTCCCTATGACTCAGTCCCTATGAATCCCTATACCTATGAGTGGAATTGCTATGTTTAACTTTTTGAGTAACTGCCAAACTATTTTCCACAGCAGCTGCACCATTTTAGAGTTCCAACAGCAATGAAAAGGAGTTCCAATTTCTCTACATACTTGTCAACACTTTTTCTTTTTCCTTGCTTCTTTTTTTTTTTTTAATAACAGCCATCGTCCTAGGTGTGAAGAGGTATCTTATTGTGGTTTTATTTTGCATTTCCCTAATGAATAATGGAGGTTTTTTGTTTTTTGTTTTTTTGCTTATTGGCTGTTTGTATATATTCTTGGAGAAATGTCTATTCAAGTCTTTTGCTCATTTAAAAAATGTGGTGTTTTTTAAATTGCTGAATTGTAGCAATTCTTCATATATTCTGGATATTATACCCTTATCAGATATATGGTTTACAAATATTTTCTCCCATTCTGTGGATTGTCTTTTTGCTCCATTGATAGTGTTCTATGATGCATAAAAGTTTCAAATTTTGATGCAGTCCAGTGTATTTTCTTTCATTGACTGTGCTTTTGGTGTCATATTTAAGAAACCATTGCCAAATTCAGGTCATACAAATTTGTCCCTATGTTTTCTTCTAAAAGTTTTACACTTTAGCTCTAACATTGAATCCACTTTGAGTTAATTTTTGCATATTGTGTAAGTAAAGGTCCAACTTCATCGTTTTGCATGGATATCCAGTTTTCCCAACAGGATGTGAAGAGACCTTTCTTTCTCTCATTGAAGAGTCCTGCCACTCTTGTTGAAAATCATTTAACCATGTATGTAGGGCTTATTTCTGGGCTCTGAATTCTATTCCATTGGTCTACATATCTATCCTTATTTTGATTACTGTAGCTTTGTACTAAGTTTTAAAATCAAGAAGTTTGTGTCTTCCAACTTTTTCTTCTCAAGATTGTTTTGACTATTCAGGGTCCCTTGAAAGTCCTTAATTTCAAGATGAGTTTTCCTATTTCTGCAAAAAAATGTTACCAGCATTTTCATGGGGATTGAACACAATCTCTACATCCCTTTGGGTAGTATTGTCATCTTAACAATATTATGTTTTTCAATCCACGAACATGGGATGTTTTTCTATTTATTTATGTCTTCTTTAATTTCTTTTTTATTCTTGGTGAGGAAGATTGTCGCTCAGCTAACATCTGTTACCAATCTTCCTTTTTTTGCTTGAGGAAGATTATCCCTGAGCTAACATCTGTTACTAATCTTCCTCTTTTTGCTTGAGGAAGATTGTCCCTGAGCTACCATCTGCACCCATCTTCCTCTATTTTGTATGTGGGACACTGCCACAGCATGGCCTGATGAGCAGTATGTAGGATTGTGCCCAGGATCCAAACCCGTGAATCCCAGGCCACTAAAGCAGAGTATGTGAACTTAACCACTATGCTACTGGGCCAGCCTCTTCTTTCTTTCAGTAATTATTTCAAAATGCTTTGTGTACAAGTCTTGTGACTCCTTGGTTAAATTTATTTTGCTAAGCATGTTATTTTATTCTTTTGGATGCTATTGTAAATGGATTTATTTTCCTAAATTCCTTTTCTGGTTGTTCATTGCTAGTGTATATAAATATAAGTAATTTTGTGTGTTGATTTTGTATCTTGCAACTTTGCTGAATTCATTTATCTCTAAAATGTGTGTGTGTGCATGTGCAGGCTCATATGTGTATTCTTTTAGGTAACATATATAATCATGTCATCTGTGAATACAAATAATTTTGCTTCTTCCTTTCAGTTTGGATTCCTTTATTCCTTTTTCTTGCCTAATTGTTCTGGAGAGAATGTCCAGTACTATGTTGAACAGAAGTGGTGAGCATGGGCATCCTGCTGTTGTTCCTGATCTCTGGGGAAAAGCCTTCAGTCTTTCAGCATTGAGTATGATGCTAACTGTGGGTTTTATCATTAAATATTGGATTTTGTCAAGTGCTTTTTTTCTGTATTGAGATGGTCATGTGGTTCTACTTCATCATTATATTAATATGGTATCTTATATCGATAGATTTCAATACAGTGAGCCACTCTAGCCTTCATGGGTTAAATCCCACTTGACCATGGAATATGATCCTTTTAACATGCCACCGGATTTGGTTTGATAGTATATTGTTGAGGATTTCTGCATCTGTATTCATAAGGAATATTACCCTGTAGTTTACTTTTCTTGTAGTATCTTTGTTTGACTTTACTATCAGGATATTGCTGGCCTCATAAAATCAGTTAGAAAGAGTTTTCTTTCTTCTTCAATCTTTTGGCAGAGTTTGAGAAGGATTTATGTTAATTCTTTAAATATGTGGTTGAATTCATCAGTGAAGACATCTGGTACTGAGCTTGTCTTTGTTGGGAGGTTTTTGATTACTGATTCAATCTCCTTACTTGTTATATATGTCTAGTCAGATTTTCTATTTCTTCTGGAGTGGGGTTTGGCAGTTTGTTTCTAGGAATTCATTAATTTTATCTAGGTTATCCAATTTGTTAGCATACAACTTTTCATAGCATTCTCTCACAATCCCTTTTATTTCTGTAAAGTCAGTAGTAATGTCCCTATTTTCAGTCCTCTATTTCCTTATCGATCTGCTGTCTGGTTCTTCTGTCCATTAGTGAAAGTGGGGTATTGAAATCTCTAACTATTATTTTAGAATTGTCTGTTTCTCCCTTAAATTCTGTCAATATTAGCTTCATATATTTTGAGGCTTTGTTGTTACATGCATGTAAGTTTATAATTATTATACATTCTTGATAGATTGAACTACAATATAGCTAATGTTTTTGTCTTGTAATCTTTTTTGACTTAAAGTCTATTCTTTCTGATAATAGAATAGCTACTCTAACTCTCTTTTGGTAACTATTTGCATGGAATTTTTCTTTTAATTCTTCTACTGTCAAACTCTTTGTGACTTTATATCAAAACCAAATCTCTTGAAGAGAGCATACAAGTGCAT